ACACAGAGACACAAACACACACACACAGAGAGAGAGAGACTCACACACACACACACACACAGAGAGAGAGAGACACACACACAGACAGAGACACAAACACAGACCGAGACAGACACACACAGAGACACAGAGACACAGACACACACACGGACAGACAGACACACAGAGACACACAGACAGAGAGACAGACACACATAGAGACACACACACACACACACACACACACACACAGAGAGACACAAACACACACACACACACAGAGACACCGACAGACAGACAGACAGACAGACACACAGAGACACACACACAGACACACAGAGACACGGACACACACAGACAGAGAGACACAGACACACACACAGACAGAGACACAAACACACACACAGACAGACAGAGACACACACACACACAGAGAGAGACACAAACAAACACACACAGAGAGACACAGATGCACACACAGACAGAGAGACACAGACACAGAGACACACAAACACGCGCACACACACACAGACACAAACACACGCACACACCATCGTCACATGTCCTTCCTTCAAGACACTCAATCATATCTTACAGTGCTACATCTCTGGTTCTTGGGAAATAATCCTAACTACAGACAGGAATGCAGTGACGTACGTCGGTTTGGACGATGCTCCAGGCGTTGGTCAGGCCGATGTTTCCTTCAGTCCCGAAGAGCTGCAGGCCTTTCTTCAGGTCGCTTTGAGCATACAGATCAATCTAGAACACAGCGTGAAGAAAACCTTATTCATTCATTATAATGACATTAATCCCTGATTATCATATTCTGAAGCATATGGTTATGGTTGAACTGGTTTATTTTTACTGTGTATAGTACAAAACTTGATTTTCTTAATCTGTATTTTTTTCCACAAAACATTTTTTAAAAACAAGACAAACTATTTGCCAGTGGGCAAGACAAATAAACGTCATGATATATTCTCTGAAAACATGTTATCAAGTAAATGTATATTGTTTTCAGGATTTTTTAAATTAACTTATTTATTCTGGAAAACAAGACAAAAATGCTGATTAAGATTTTGTTTCACATAAGGACTAATAAAAGGGTTTTAATGCATACCTGCCAGCCAATCAGAACCAAGTATTCAGACAGACCATGGTATAACGGTCTATAAACACATTGTTCGCGTGTGAAATGAATAACAGCATGTTGTTTCAGCACATTTGAGCTGCAGGTTTAGTCTGTGGAGTCTGATTTAAGGCCCTGTTTTTCATTCTTGTGTAATGTGCTACGATCCTGCTCTACGTTCTTCATTTTCTGTAAATGCACATCTAATTACAGTGGAACATAAATGTCCCTGAAAATTACCATTAATACAAGCCATGGAGCTGTGTGTCAGAAAATCAATGTAATTACTCATTAATTATGCTTTGCATTTTAACAGAGCAACGTAAACTAATACGCAAATGGTGTTTGCGCTTAACGTTTGTTGTTTTCAACACTGAAAGTGTGCACGGATGAAACCAAGCCTGTTCTCAGCTGTGTGAAATGAATCTGGTCACAAACGTGTTTCCACAGCCATCAGATCAAACTGTGACGGAGCAGGTTACATACGTGACTACATAACCCCTCTACAGACGCTGGTTTGTGTGATTCTTCAGAGCGACAGATGATGCACACAGTCAGGAACAGCACAAGCTTTACCACACCTGACTCTGACTGATAGTTCTGCTGCTGTTTAAGAACAACACGATCTATCCTGAAGTTCTTCATATTAACTCACTGTGACGGGATACATTTATAAACAAGTCATATCTGTCACTGACATGTAAAGGACACAAATAGACACGAATAAACTGACACATATGAGCCTCATTCATTAAACACAAGCAAACTTAATTTCTGTGTATATAAATTGTACTCAATTCAGTGTAACAGTTTACACATGAATGGATTTACTCATGATTTTCACAGAAACGCACTAATTGTGCTGGTGTTTGATGCATGAGGCCCACTGAGTGCTAAACATGAGCTGGTGAATGAACAAAGATGTGCTTGTCTCCAGTCATTACTGCTGGCCAAGAGTAATGCATGTGAGAGACGGCAGGGGGAGATGAAGAAAAGCATTTCTGTAGAGCAGGGATCTCCTGGAGAGCTGCTTCAGTTCCAGCCCTGCTCCAACACGCAGCTCTGAACACCTCGATTAGCTTTCACTTTTATACATATACACATGTAGTAGTGCCACATTAAAATCAGATTTTGAGAATAGATTCACAATGTTATGAGAATAAAGTTATGTAATTAAGGCATGTTTTGAGTAATGAAACTTTCTTCAATAATTGAGTAAATTCCTGGACCTTCCCGAAAATTCTTCTCAAATTCGTATTCGCATCGTAAATCTAATTTTTGTTAATTAAGCTTGTGCATGTTAATTCAGTCACACACACACTCATTCTGAATTAGCATAATCCCGCCCATGAACCACGGCTAACGTGAATTGCGCGTACAGGAACGCTGTGGGATCTTTGGACTCCCTTCAGGTTTGACTTCAGTAAATTTCATAAATGCAATAGAGACTGATTGACCACATGGCTGCTTTTAATAACTTTGATCAATTTCAAATGTAACATGTTTAGTATGTTCTTATTTGAAATTCTTAAATATAATTTTGGGAGCAATGAAACATCTAATATATGGGCTTGAGTCTTTCATAGTATTTAAAATAAAGCAATAAACCACAAGATGAGAAGCATTTCAGTGGTTTTGCCACGAGTAAGACGTGCTGTAAAACAGCAAAAACAGCAACATAATGAAAGGCAGTCCTTTAAATATTTAAATTCTTTAATGATAACCAATTCTCCCAGCAAATCATATTGTTCATTAGTGTAACTGTAGGCTGTTGGTGATTTCACAGCAACACGGCACATTACATTCTGATGAACACAGCTGTGACGGCATATTTTATGGGAGTCAGAATGATTTTAAAATAAATTAAAGTTTTATAATAGTTCTATAAAAACTACTTTATTAAAAAAAAAGTTTTACAGCACTTAATATACAATGGTACAGATATATATGCATATTAAATATGATGATCAGACTGAGGCATATCTTTGACAGAAGCAGTAAACACAAAGACAGAAAACTCAGATGGAAACTAATTATTCACATCTAAAATATTTTACCTGTTCCTCTCGCAATATGTGAGTTTTGTGAAGTGTTTATGGAATATCATCCTTTTCTGATAGCATATATATGAGTTATAAATGTTTTACAGTCTTTACTACAGGGGAATTGCACTGCCGTCATCAGTCGGCCAAACAGAGCGTCATCAATGAATTATTCAACACCACAAACAGAGAGGAAATAGAAAAACAGGAAAAAGGCAGTGAGAAAGACAGCAATCTATACTGTTGAAGCTGCCAGTGAAAGCTGTCCTCAGAGGATTGTGACATTTTCTCCAGACTTTGAGTGCATGCATGCGCTGAACCCAGAGCCATCATTGGAAACGTAAAGGGTTTTCACGCCTCCTTCCAGGTCTCATGACAGACTGCGGCACCATTACAAACACGTGTCTATAACATCTATACCAGCTCCTCCATTATTCCCTGGGATCCGTCTGCAAATGCTGGCACTTCACAGCCTTCCTCATAGATGTAATACAGTAATGCATCATAAATAATTAATATCAGTAAAGAGGAAGAAGCAGGGAGACGATAAAGAGGTCAAGGAGGTCGTTTCTAATCATCTGTGTAGTACAGAATCAGGGAACGCAAGAAGAAAACTATATACAGAATAACACAATTTCCACCTTATATTGCCAGTTTGTCAGTGTAATCTCTCCCTTTAGATCTGAGCGGATCATCACCAGCGGCGTGCTTCATGTTCTGCTGATGTGTGTGTAAATCACTTTATTCCTTCAGCTCACTTCAGTTAAAAGATGACAGTGACACACACTGAATAAAGGCCATTTATAATGACTACAGACTAACGCTAAATGACAAATGCTTCGCATTCTTATAGATTATTTCCAAAATAACATTATCGTTGAATTATTGATTTTTTTTCTTTACATGTTTCTTTAGCCCAAATCACTGAAAACTGCATTTTTCAGGCTGGACTAGATCTCCATCCCTATACAGCCTCCATATGAGAGCCGTGAGATGCTAGCAGTCGTCTCGTCATCCTTACAGTGTCTCTGCATTTGTCCAGTGCAGCTTTAGTAACTCAACACACACGCACACACACACATCTACTATATAGTGCACTGGTTCTCAGCTCCGGTTCTGGGGGCCCACTGCTCTTTTATCTGACGTGCCGCTCTTCTGAATCGGGTGCGTTAAATAAGGAAGACAGAGCGGTGGGACTCCAGGCCCGGAGCCACTGATATAGTGTGAAAGTAGTGTATTCTGACACAGACAAACCCTGAAATGGATGGTGCGATGAGGGAGACATCCAAAATGAGTTCCTTTCATCACGCTCTACACTCATATGGCTCATGCTGCTGACTCTCATATTATTATGGTTCAATGTTGCCATAATTACCATATATGTACTTATGTATCTTATATAATGTTATTCAAAATACATATGCACTTAACAATAAATATGGTTCCAATTATTATCTTGATAAAATGTTAGGTAAATATTCATTTTTGTAAGGGAACATGTAGTGCTGCGGCATTTGCTGAAAGAAAACTCGAAATGCCTGCCAGCGGATCATGTGACTCATTTGTGCATTTTCTGTGGATAGAGCCCATTTTGTAAAACTCTTAAACTGTGTGTGTGTGTTTTCTCCTGAAATACATTAATTTTTATTCTAATATAATATCATGAATTCTTTATGATTCAGTTATTCTTTGCCTGTGTTTAATTATGGAAAGAAAACTGACTCACAAAACTTCACCTCCACATACTGACCAGCATGTAACTTACATTGTGCTTTTTTAACATTGTTTCTTATTACAACGAGACACCAATGTTAATTCATATCTTGTTTTTTATCATATCTTGTCAATGGCATGTTTTAATTATTTAATTATCTTCATGATGCAACTTTTTTAATCTAATCTTGACCTTGAGCAGATTAAGAGTGATGAAAGGTGAAGTGGAGTGTTTTTCTCTCTGGTGCGCGTCGAGGAAGAGCGTCTCACTGTACGCTGCTGCACGGTGGAAATATGCTGCTATCACTGGATCACAGTATGCTGCCATATGTGCTTTGAGGAGAACGGCCAAAACGATGACAGTTTGTGTGTGAGAGACTCAGAGAGAGAGAGAGAGCTACACTGAACACTTGATTATTTTTAATTATTACTTTTACAAGCATTAAATGATACTAACCCAATAAATAACTTGCTTAAACTGCTCTTAATGCTATTCCGATGTGAACTTGCCAAGAAAGGTAAAGACTGAAGTTTTTACATGAAGATTTACATGGATCTACATCATCGTGTAGTCTCAAACCTGATGATGTAGAAATTATTTAATGTGAGAATAATCTGGAGTGATACGAGACGGGAACTAGCCGGAAACTAGGAAATCTCTGAGACCACAGCCGATTAAACAGCTCACTGTCATTGTACTTAATTATGTGAACGTTGAATGCCACCCCTGATCAATCACAACCGTGAAATAATACAAAATAATGAATGAGACAGATCCATTCTGCACGTACCTGATCTTGATATGCGAAGAACAGAACCATGAACAGAATCTCCAACAATAATATCAGGAGCAGCAGAATGAAGAACTGTAGAAACACAAGCAGAAGAGACTCCGAGTCAGAGAGATTATTAGATTATTATTATTCTGCAGGCCTTCAGAACTTCCTGTTTCCTGTTGTCATAAAAGCCATTGAAAACCTGACACATACCATACAGGACCCAATGAGACACGACACATAAAGAGGGGCAGCACGTGGCACAATCACATGAGGGAACAGGGAATGAAAATAGAAGACATGAAACATGAACATAAACCAAAACCAACCGTGACACCTGTATAGTGCACTGTATTTGCTGCCAGACAGTTTGTAGTATTGATCAAATTCTTAGTAATCATTTTCATTCCTCTTTCATTCAGTGGATTATAGTGTACAATACGGGTGTGAGATATTGACAAAAATGATACGTCAATATTTTCTGGCATTTGGCCATTGACGGTAATTAGAGCGTGTTTTGCTGATTGTGGATTTGTGCTGGTCTCTTGGCTGGTTCAGGCCTGCTGCTGACAGCTGTAAGTGTGCATGTTAGCTTTATAAGGGCATTTTCTAACCTGATGCACCATTTCATGTTAAATTCTTTTATTTTATCAATAAATTCAAGTAGGGTTATAAAACACTGTAGGGCTGTTTTCAATCAGTGAAATCAGTATAACAAAAAACAAAAAAAACATCTTTGCACTGCAGAAGTGGACCGAAGCTGCATCTGAAGTGGCTTTTTGGTGAATTTACACAGATTAATATGCTTAATATGGCTCAAACCTGGCAAAAATGCATTTACACTGAAATTGCATATATAATGCTATATATATATTTTTTTTTAATAAATGTAAAATGAAGTGTAAAATTAATATGTTTTTATTAAAAATATTTAAAAGTGGAATTATGCATTAAAAATGCAACTAAACTGCCAGTAGGAGCAGGAAGTAACGGCCTTAATGAGTGAGTCACTGCGTCATTCGTTCAAAGAGCTGATTCATTCTGAAACGTCTTTATGAATGAGTCATTGTGTTATTCACTCAACTGATTCAAAACTATTCAAAAATGCAAATTCATTCAGAAACAAAATGCCGCACAACTGTTCTGTTCTGGGTTTATTTGGAACTATTTTCAAACAAAGCAAAAATTGACAAAATGTGTCTTAAAACGTAACGCACTTAATATTAATTTCTTATTTATCGAACTGTTGTATAACATCAATGCCATATTTGCAATTGTACTGATGAAGTCTGCTGATAAAGCTCTCAAGATAGTTGTTTTTTTTTGTTTGTTTGTTTTTTTGTAAAGTGAGTGACACTCATAATCTCAGCTTGCACATTGTTAAAACAATAATTACAATATTATCATAGACATACTGTACATATCACACACCTAGTGAACAATTATGTCCTCAAAGACACTTTATTGGCCATGATACATTGTGAAGAAAACTGCTGAGCTTAATTTGCAGCTCCTTTATTCTTGCCGTCTTTATTTCATGCTGGTTCAACTCTTTCACTTCTTTGACATTGTCAGTCGATTTAAAAAGCCCAAATTATACGGACACTTGATGGTATCTTTCTTTACTAACTAATAATAACCTACTGTAATTACTCAGAAGATTGTATTTGGTGGATGACTTAAATCCATATAATTAATGAATAAATAATAATAAAAAACTTTTATATAAGCTATTCACCTCAAATAATGTGTTCTTGGCTGTTTATCGTCTGTGTAGAAAAATGGGCCACTTTAGATGGGACTGTGCTTTATAGGAAATCTACTAAAAGTAAATAAATACAGTCATGTTGTCACAATATCAGTTAGTTTGGACGTTCAGTTTGCACATTTTCCCTGTTGTGTTGGTTGTCATGGTTGTTGATTTGATTTATTCATTCGTTCAGTTCAGGTGTGTGTTGTTAATTATCCTTGTTTGCTCATGTATTTCAGTTGCTCTGATTCTCTGTTCATTGTGGTCGGTTCTTGTGGATGTTGCATCTGCTGTTGCTGTTCTCTATATGCGAATTATTTACCTGTGGATTTATTAAAGACTAGCTTCTGCCTTCATCTTTGTGTGTTCTAAAACACTGATCCGTGAAACATGTATGCTTATTTGTGTGATTTTAATTATCTTCATATTTTTAATCATTATGAACAAACAGAGCATATTAGACACACACATCATGACTATATAGGGAGTAGTGCATGAGTGAACGAGGGGGTGATTTGGGACGCAGCATATGTGACTCACTGTGAGGCTGTTTAAATGACTAATTGCTCGTCAACCCAACCTTCATTTCTCTAGTCATTGATCTTGTGCCTCAGAAACTCACTAAAGCACTCAAACTATATCAAGCGGTGAACTGAGAAGATCATATTCATTCACACATAATGGCTCTCACACTTCCAGTCGCATTAGAAATCATCGTAGATTTTGGAACCTCATCTTGATCCAAAACCATGTGAAATGTAAGATTTCAGTATGAGCTCGGGTTCAACAAATGCTGCTGAACACAAAACAACAGACACTAATGCCACAATCTCTGGAAAGAGGTTTGTAACAGTGATGTGTGTGTTTCACGCGGTTGAATGATGAGTCCAGTGGCAGTGATAGCTTTCACTGGAGAAACAGCCCTGAAGACGTAGTGCTGGGAAATGCTTCATTCCTGGAGCACAGAGAAGTACTTGTAAGAAGCACCTGAGAAACAACTTGTAATTTGGAAGAAGCAGATGGTAAAGACTCTGTTTCAGAGACCACCTGGTTTCCTAACTAATTCCTTTTCTGTTAGCTGAACACCGATCGTTCTTTGGCTCTTTCCGATCAATCATAAGTGTTTGGCGGTTGTTGCAGATGACCACAGAATGTCCAGTCTGGTGTCTAAAGGTCATTCTCCATTATTTTACATCACGTGGAGATTTTCTGCTGGTCACAGCTGCGGTTGGTTTGCACACAAGATATATCGTACTGTTTGTGTTATGTATTGCTGTAAAACAGTGTGTTGTCAGAAAATAAAATTGACTTGGCAAATATTGGCTTTAATTTGATAAAATTCATATAATTAATCCTAATTTAAAATCTGGGCTAACATCTGGTGCAGAGATTATATGTAAAAGCCTCCTTTACATATGTGTGTTTATCTGCACATCTTAATAAATTATCTGCACTATATCTACAAAGTACACCACAATTTGTTAGATCAAGCAAATTCACAGCCCTTATTTAGGATCTTAGTAGATCAGCTGTCTGTGTATAACATGAACGGCTGTGCATGAGAGAGTTCATAGAAGAGTGTATGGATATGTTCTCCTGCCGATCGGTGTTTTTGTGCAGTTAAGCAGTTTCCACTTAGACATTTATGTAAAAAAAACTAAAAGTTTCACTGTTATCAGCTAATGAAATGTAAAGCCATGAAGAGAAAAAATATTCACTGGAAAATTCCAAAACGTATTTTCTGGTAGGTCTTGTTGAACTCTTCCTGGTCTCAGATGTGTTTGTGTAACTGGGCATCATCACTCATCATAACGCTGCTGTAATCACACCGCTCTGCCCACACCGGGTTACAGACACACAGGAGAGCACAGGCCGTCATTAAAATTAGTCCCTGACATAAATAGCAGCTTAAGGAGTAAACATTATCATCCCCCATGTGGACATGAGAATATGTGATCATGAATCATCTTCAGGCTATGATAGTCTCGGAGGTGATTCCAGCTCAGCAGCATTATATATTCATAGACTGCGCTGATATTTGCTGCTCCGTTCCAGCGGTGTTGAACCCGAAACACTGAGCAGAGGAACGGCTGGGAACCGATTCTTCCTTTAGCTTATTTTATCCAATTCACTGGTGAAAAGAAAGTTGGGGATTTTTGGCTTTTAAGTGATCTTAAGACATACAGTACATCAACTTTTATGCATGGTTTTTCTTTATAAAAATATCAAAATGCATAATTTATTTTCACATTCACTATAGGAATAAATAGATAACTTTAGAAAAATAAGGCAGTCTGCAGTTATCTGTATCATTTGTGTATGGCTCCTCATTTTAAATAATAAATAGGGACAGCGGTGTTTCAGTCCTCGGGCACCGAAGGAATAAAGCTGACCTGACCTGAGCCCTGCAGTTTGCTGAAGGACTAATGTTAACTAATATTAATTAATTAATTATTAATTCATTGTGGGATATGTAGGTAGAGTTTCTTTCAGACGCATTAAAAATTCAGGGAATCCAAAGATGAAAATCCACAAAGAGTGACTGGCTGTGTTCAGTATCGTTTACTGAAGTGTTCGTAGTAATTCAGCACTATATGGTGTGCAATTCATTTTTCGTTCCCTTTCCAAACCGAGGAATGGATGTGTTATCAGCTGTGAGCTCCGTTTGACTCATTATTTGATAGGACTGGCAAAGACATTTTTACTGGATTAAAAAAGCAAAGTTTTTGTATTTCTTTTGAGAAGATAACTGAATGGAATTGACTGAATTAAACATACAGTGTGACATGAATCACGGATCAGAGAAGCTCTGGAGCTGCGATCGATCGTTCATGACATCGCATGATCAGAGCAATGGACTATAGATGTATGCAGATTGTGTTTATCCTTGAGAAAGCCTGCTTTAGTGTGCTTTAACTCAAATAAAACAATCCAGCGCAGCACCTAGGCCGATATCTGCATCTGTCACGGGACGCTCCCACACAGAATGTAGGTCTCTCTGTCCTCCAGAACCATCCACGGTCTCTGATTGCAGTTTAAAAGATACAGAAGTCAGTACTAGAGTCAGAGAATAACCATTTGAATATCACAATGCAAAATGGCTTCTCTCTATGGAACCAATGAAACCAGGGCTTTTCGAAGTGTTCCTGGATCCTCCTCAGTGCTACACTATTAATCTGACCAGGAACATTGTGAACCATCCTTCATTAAGTATTAGTATTGTAGCTAAGTACTTTAACATGTATTGACAGGTTGCAAAATAAATAAATAAATAAATAAAAATAATGTAATTAATGCAGCATGTTTCAGCATGTGCAGCTGAAGTATCTCTGCTAATGTC